CACTTTCGCCTGTCATTACTTGTTTCAATTATGGTTTTTTGTTTCAATTAAGTTTTAGAAATTATGTTTCAACAATCTAATTAAGTCATCATACTAATAATATATATTTTTCATAATTTAAATCCTTTTTAACAATCTAACTAAATCACCAATCTAAAAATTTAAATATTAATCGTCTAAATTACGTTATTCGATTTATTGTTTATTTGATGAGACAATTAATCTTCCAAGTGCTTGATTTAGTTTAATTCATAAATTTTTATATTAAAATTTTTAATCAATGTATTGTTATTCAAACGAAACCTAACCGATTATATGTATCGTTTAAGAAAATCGATCGATTATATTAGTCAAACTGATAACCAATTATGAAATCAACATTATTTTCAACAATTCAACATAAAAAAAAATTAAGAAATTAGTAGTACTTTCAACATTAAATTACAAAACAAGATTGCAATATGTGCTAAATATTTGGAGCCAAAATATTATTATCATAACTTCAATTTCTATAAAATTTTAAGTTGATATTTGCATTAAGAATTGATGCATTTTCATCTAAAATGAAAACTAGATTTTGATCCGCGCCAAACGCGAGATTAAATGATTAAATAGGTTGACTAATCGATATTAACATATATATTTTTAATGTTTAGACGTATGACAAAACACATGAATTCTAATATATATAAATGTACAAAAGCGATATGTATTGTGCATAAATGTAATAAAGTAAAATACTTTTGATCAAGTAGATGTTGATGCCATTTGTTTTAATAATTTTATGTATATAATTGATAAAAAAATGCAAATGTAATTTATTTTAATTTCTTTTAAGTGTAAAATAGATTTATTCGTTTAAATTATAGACAATGCGATAAATCAGATAAATTTTAAATCTATAGGAATTTGTCGGACATAACAAGCAAAAAACAATATATATTTTCTAATAATGAAATATATAAATATTTGTAAGTGTGATTAAATTGGTACAATAGACTACATTTTTTTTTCAACCAAACTATTAATCAAAAGACACCACTAGAATTAGTAATCTAATTTGGCGGCAAGTTACTTACATACGAAAAATCAAAAGCCAATAGACTACATTATAATAAACAAATTTTTATAATATATTAATCTACATACATATTACACACAATAGATAATGTTGTTATAAATATAATAATAAAAAGTTTGTTAATATATATATAGAAAAGAAAAAGATGATATGATCATTTAAAATATTACATTTAATTGAAATTAGATTTGTAAAACATGTATTATTAAGTTTATGTTATAAAGTTAATTAGAATGTGTAGATATTTCCACTATGACATATAGTTTTAGTTAAAATAATTTAGTTAGTTAATTTAAATAATATATTTATTAAAATATTCATTAAATAACACATATTATTTTTCAATTAGTATATTTTCAATTAATATATAGAAGATGATTATAAAAGGAAGCCAGGAACGTAAGTCTCTGTCATTCAAAGAACGAGGCGCTCCTTTCTAATCGGACTTCACGGGAAGAAATAAATAAACACATCCAAATCAAGTGTCATGCCACATTATGCACGCAATTTTCACTACATATATAAATAATCGTATCAATATATAAACGATTGGAAACAATAAAAGCTAGTAGATAGACCGGAGATTTTTCTTATAGAAAAAACAGTAAAATCAATTTACGGTTTCACATTAATTTCCCTTGGAGAACACGTTGCAAAAAAAAAAAAAATTAACATCATTTCCATCCATATAGGAAACAAATTAACCTTTTTTTGTTTGTTATTGTTTTGTCGGTCCATAGATTTTTTTCACACTCGCACACCGTTTTAGTACTACCGGAAAAGTCACACATTGGTGACGTCATCAACGAGTCACTACTAATAAATAACCAACTTCGCCTCTTCCTCTCTACTAAACAATTTTAGCAAGCAAACAAGCACACGAATTTTCAAATCTTCTCCTTTTTTCTCGCTCTCTATCTTCGGAAACTCTCCGATTCTCTTCTCTCTCTGTTCCTCGTTGTTCAAGATCCCTCTGTTTCCGTTTTGTTTTTTTCCAGTCTCAAGATCTCTGGCATCGAAAATGAGTGAAAACGGTACGTATCAAATCTCTTTCTTGTTTATTTTACTTTTATTCTTGATCTGACGCCATGGAATGATCTTTATCGAGCTGGATTCGAATTGGGTTTTCGGTTTCCATGGATTTAAGTATCTGGGTTTGATTGTTTTTCTTCAAAGATTTCTTCTTTGATGGATTCATCTTCTTGGGTTTTCGGTTTATAGATCTCTCTGTTTGTGTATGATTCATTCGATGCATGTGCGGATGCAACCAGAGGAAATCTGAATTTTGATTCCCTTTGTTCGTATCGAGAAAACGGGTTTTTTTTCTTCCATCTTGTGATTAAGAAAAGCGAGAAACTTGATTAAGTTCTTTTAGGATTTCGAATATTGATTTCATGTTCTGGTAACAGGTAATCACAATAATCTAACCATAGACACACGAGGTTCAGAAAATCTCGTGGTTTGCTTCGGTGAAATGTTGATCGATTTTGTTCCAACTGTGGGAGGTGTGTCACTCGCTGAAGCACCAGCTTTCAAGAAAGCTCCTGGTGGTGCTCCTGCAAATGTAGCCGTTGGTGTCTCTAGACTCGGTGGCTCTTCTGCTTTCATTGGAAAGGTCTGAGTTTTTCCCAATTTGATGATCAATCGAAGGAGCTATTGTGTTTTTGAATTCAGTCTTAGTTTCGATTTTTGTTTGAAAACTCAGGTTGGTGATGATGAATTTGGAAGAATGTTAGCTGAAATTCTAAGGCTGAACAATGTTGATAACTCCGGGATGAGATTCGACCACAATGCACGGACTGCTCTCGCCTTTGTTACACTAAGAGCTGATGGAGAGAGGGAATTCTTGTTCTTCAGGCACCCGAGTGCTGATATGCTTCTCTCTGAATCTGAGCTTGACAAAAACCTCATCCAAAAGGTTGATTTTTTGCGCTTTTGATCCACATTTTCAATGAGACTAAGTCCACTGACTTCTGTTGTTTAATTACAGGGCAAGATCTTTCATTACGGGTCCATCAGTTTGATCGAGGAGCCTTGCCGGTCGACTCAGCTTGCTGCTATGAAAATCGCTAAAACCACAGGGAGTCTCTTGTCTTATGACCCGAATTTGAGATTGCCATTGTGGCCATCAGAAGATGCTGCAAGGAAAGAAATCATGAGTATCTGGAATTTGGCAGATGTTATAAAGGTATGGTATAAAGGTGACACATTTGATCACTCCTAGTACTTCAAATGACACAAGTCTTGTCTGAGAGTTTGCAGATTAGCGAGGACGAGATTACATTCCTGACCGG